TGTTGTTGCTATCACAACTTGTTTAGCCATTTATGGGCCCCCCGACCTTCCTCAGGTGTATATCGATCTGCGTAGCCTACAGGGAATTCTGAACTGAATCATTTATTTAATCTAGGCTGTTATCGTTCCACTGTTCATATCTATAGGTATGACATCGTCCTATGGAACAATGGCCTAGTGGATAAAAGCGTTGGTTTGTGAATTTGGTGTCATAGTGGGTGTGAGTTCAATTTCAGTGTGCACTTGCACAGAGTATAGCAAGAACTTAACATTACTAAATAAAAACAAGATATATTCCTAGACAGAAGTACAATCACCATTGTTAAGCAGCATTGAGTCTGGTCAGTATCTAGATGGGTGACCGTTTAGGAATACCAAGTGTTGTAAGCTTGGATGTGCAGGTGGTGTAATGGGCTTATGGCCAAATCACGTTCAAACATTGGTTCCCGTACGATCATCGTTGTTAAGCAACGTAGAGCCTGGTCATTAAATAGATTGGGGACCGTTTAGGAATACCAGGTGCTGTAAACTTGGATGTGCAGGTGGTGTAATGGGCTTATGGCCAAATCACGTTCAAATATTGGTCCCGTACGATCACCGTCGTTAAGCAACGTCGAGCCTGGTCAGTATTTAGATGGGTGACCATTTAGGAATACCAGGTACTGTAAACTTGGATGTGCGGGTGGCGTAATGGATAATGGCTCAGAATTGTTTAGAGAGCCGAGTTCCAATTCCTATTGGTTTCATTATATTCACTTACGCGATATCCGTGGTGAAAGGCATGAATCCAACTCTTCCCACCTAGCTATGGGTTAATTAACACGGCTTGTATCACTTAACCCTTATTATCTCCAAGAATAAAATAAAATTGCGTGCAAAATATTTAGATTTCGACATTAAACAACCCATATAGGTGTTGATATGCCACTAAAAAAACAACCAAACCAATGGATAATCGTTCGGAATTGTTTATCGGAGAGCCGAGTTGTAATTCCACTTGAGTTCGGTATATTCACTTAGACGCAAATACTTTGGGAAAGGTATGAATTCACCTCTTCTCCCCCAGCTATGGGTTAATTAGTAAGAAAAACTCATCTAAAATTGCGGGCAAAATTTTAGATTTCGGCATTAGAGGAAATAAAATTTTAATTGCAAAACATGTTTTATGAGTTAAACCCATTATTCCTTGGAGAATGTAAATCGTCATATTTTCTTTTTCAAACAGTTACTCACTTCCCGAAAATCTGCTCCGAATCGTAAGATAAAAAATGCAATAAAACTACGATATTATTTAATTAAGAAAAATTTTAATTGATTTTATAAATAAGATTATTTAAGAACTCTCTTGCCTTAAGAAGAAAATTTTTTAGATGAATAATGAATTTTTACAAGAATTGTTTTCCTGTTGTTAAAAATTTTAATAATAATTTATAAATCTTCGAAAACTATGCAATACGTTCATCCGGTTTGGTGATATTGTTATTAAGTGAAAACTATATTTACTCTTCAAAAATTGAAGGGATTAATACAACTTATCACGCACGAAGATTTTAAAATAATTTTAATTATTTTTCTGTAGAAAAGTTCCGATTTTTTAAAGACGACCATACACGACATTATCAAAAAAAAAAAAAAAAAAAAATCAGATATCCCGAATTAGTGGAAGTACCTTTTATATATATATATATATATATATATATATATATATATATATATATATATATATATATATTCTTTCCTCAACCCCATAGAAAACTTATGGAGCATTATAAAGTACAGGCTTTCGAGAAAGCAGTTGAGCAACATGCTCCAAGTGTTTTCTATGTGGTTGAGGTCAATTCCATGTCATAACACTTACCTACTTCTTTCCTCAAAGTATTCCTTCATCAATTTTGGTTTGTGACAGGGGGCATTATCCTGCATAAAAATGAGCTTGGTGAGGTCGATTTGCACCCTTTCAGCAGAAGGGAGCAGAAAAGACTCTAAAATTCTCTTGTACTGCTCGCTCCTGAGTGTCTTTTCAATAGGTTTTAAGAAACCAGTTCCATGAAAAGAAAAGCATCCCCAGAACATTATACTGAACGGATTCTTGACAGTACTTACTGCTAAATTCAAACAGCTTTCAAAGCTGCTTCTTCGGATTTTAGATCGCTTATCCTTTGAATTTAGCTCAACTTTTGTTTCATTGGAGAAGAGAACATTTACTAAAAAAATCAGGTGAGTCACTTTTATCGAACAGCACTATATATATATATATATATATATATATATATATATATATAGCAGCATTTTTTCATTCATACATGTTTCAATAAAAAATATAGACAAGCGTTGTCTATTTATTTTATGTAAATTCTTTTCATAACCTAAACAAAATAAACTATGAAATCTCCACAAATATCCTTAAATGTCTATAATTGGTAACAGAAGCCATTGATTTATACCAATGGCTTCCAATACTTAATACTTCTTGAATTCACTCTCGCGTGATCATGTGTGACGTCATGAGCTGCGGTGCGATTTTCGCTTCCAGCGTCTTGTATGCACAAGTTTGTCGTTGCTTGGAAATCATCCATGTAAACAGAAACAGCCTATCATCACATTCCTGTCCGTGTATTGCTTAATATATTGTACAGTAATTGTCATCTTTGATAATGGCTTATATTCCCGAAAGACAGATAGGATTAAAAATATGTATCAATATTGTGATTTTCTTTCTTCGTTTAATGATAATGTTATTAAGCTTATCAGACGATATGAAAAAAATTTACATAAAATAAACAGACAACACTTGTATATATTATTTAATGAAATATATAATGTGTGTGTGTACAGAGTATGCACAATTCAGGAAAGGAAAAACTTGTATAGATATTGTAATACTAAATTTATTCAAAGATTACGAGATTAATATAAGTTAACTTTGGTCACGACAATCACAAGAGATGCAGGCCTTTAGCTTCCAGACATTTATTAGTACGGCGAACTACCAAAGTGTCCAGTGGGATAGCTGCACATGCATTTTCAATTTCTTGTCTAAGGGCTGCCAATGCAGTCGGTTTTCTGCGCTACACAATATCCCTTAGGGTCCCCCATAGGTAAAAGTCTATAAACTACCAAAGACAATTTTTGCATTTTCTGAAATGTGCACATATATATATATATATATATATATATGTGTGTGTGTGTGTAAAACTTCAAACTTTATTATACTGACGATTTTGGGTTTGAAATAGACGAGCCATTTTATTTATTAAACAGTGTGTAATAACGTTAAAAATGTCGGATTAAAAATTAATCCAGTATCTGAACAATGTAAAAATTTAATCCTATATATATATATATATATTAAACATTACTTTTAGTGGATACGCATATTTGAATAGATGATCCGTTTATCTATTAAAGAGTGTATTTATTTATTTTCATCTATCGACCTGAATTTTCGAGAAATCTTATTAGAAAAAATGCGCACACACACACACACACACACACACACATATATATATATATATTAAAAAGAAGAGAGAAGCTGAAAACGTTTAAGGTTATAATGTGGAATTTTTATATATATATATTTTACTTTATTTTACATTTTTTGCTACACGGGTTTCCGTTCTCGCGATCTTCTTCAGGCAAAGATTGGCTATTTCCAAACTTATTATTAAAAGGAATTAATTTTCCAAAAACATGTTTTTCCGGAAAATAAACATTGTCTTTTGTGTGTAGTAGTAATCCAAGTTATTCTTGGACTTGTTGCTAAAATATTCTTCTTCTTAAGGTGTAATAAAACAATTAGGAAGGGCGAAGGTAGGAGGTCTTTGTTTTTCTCTATTTATGACCCTGTATCTCCTTAGACCTATCTCTATTTTTGTGCAATGTGTGTGCCTGTGTGTCTAAACATATCCCTTCTTCCATAATTTATATGGTTTTATTATAAATTTCAATATATATATATATATATATATATATATATATATATATATATATATATATATATATGAAATGGACAAAAACCTACAATTATTTTAATACATTTTTTTATGTTTATACGTTCTTTTTATAGATACAAATATTTAAGTAAATGCTCTGTTTATAATAAAATCAGTACTAATGACCTGCCTCTCAATTTTCATGGAAAATTTTTTCTGCTTCGACAGTTCAACCTACACTCCTATATAAATTCTAACTTTTTAGCCTGACGTGCTTTTAATGCTTTAACCACAGAGGTCGTTTCAAAAAAAATAAATTTTACTGTTTTAAACTTCTAATTGGATTTTTTTTTTATCTCATACATTCATATCTATTTATGCGTATCTGGCTTGGAAAAACAAATGACGTTTTAAGTGTGGAAAAGTCCGTATGGAAATTATTTTAAAATATATGAGAGAAAATCATGGAGAATTTAAAACCGTTTTATTAAAATCATTTGCTAACCGGAACGCTCCTTTCCTCAATCGGTTAAAGCACGTCAGGCTATAAGGATTCTTGGACATGGAATTTTCTCGATTCCTGAGGAAAAATTTATTTCATTTTAACGGTAAATTTTGTTAATAATTTTTAAAATTTTAAGCAAGTTTTAATTAAATATTTGTATTTATAAAAAGAACGTATAAAAAATGTCATATATATATATTTCTCCCCGTCGATATTCGACGTATGAGGGTCAATAGATTTAGTTTCCAGGAAACCGACAGCCCGACAACAGCACATGAGATTCGATTATAGTGGTGAAGGTTTCGTGCAGGACCATCCAAACTTTTGAAGGGACGAATTTTTAGACCTGGTGCACTAAGAGCCACAAGGTCCCTTAATGACCCTCCGCAGGTTTTGAATTCAGAATTGTCCTTCTCCTAAACCAGTTGCCATCCAAGGCTATAGAACCCAGTCTGTCCTGCTATTTACCCAGAGCTGGAGGAAGAAGAAGAGGATTCACACCTTTCCCAAATATAATGGGTTCAACTGGAATTTGAACTAGTCTCTCTGATTCCTCAAGCCAAGACGCTATCCATTACTCCACCGTTATTTATTTATATATATATATATAAAATCTGGTTTTGCCGTTGTCAAGCAAACTGTGTTAAAGCACACAATACTTTTTCATAAAGTTAAGTTTATAGCAAGAAAAAATTTTTCGTTCCTTTTGTCTCTTTTTTTTTTTATTCCTCGTCAGTAATCCATCTTACATTCTTCTGTGCATTGAATCCTGTTACCATATCTGGTCTGGTGTTCTTGCTTGACAAAATTAAAAAGAAGTCTGCAATGTAATAGATCCTGACCTGTCATCTCGGCTTCAGTCAGTTTCTCACCGACATAGCGTATCTTCCCGCTGTCTTTTGTACAAATATTTTCATGGCAATTGTTCTGATTAGCTTTCTTCCTTGGTGCGTCGACTACATGAATTTAAGCGTACTACTAGATTGGCATTTAGGTCTCACTGTTTTACTCTTGAACTAACTAGATGCAACCGTATGTTCTATTCTAATAGTTTCTTTTCTCATATTTCTCGCTTGTGGAAACCCTTTCTGATGTCTTGACACCTACAATCATCAAAAATTTAAATGCAACGTCAATCGCCATCTTCTATTGTCCTTTCTTCTCAATGAAGTTTTCTCATTCTCTTTTATTGCCAGCAACTCCTTGCGTCTTAGTGGCATTATCGCTATCT